CTTCTACACGCCACCGTTGCCATGTCCAATTCAGGCACGCACGCATTTATCCTTGAATGTTTTTTGTTAATTACGCCACGTGTGTCGTGAAGATTGTGGAACACGGAATATTGTCGAAGAATTTGAATAAGAAAAGAATAAATGTTGAAGTAAATTATACTTCTTGTTATTAGCTATACTGTAACCATTGCAATGTAGTTTTGTTATACATCGGTGCAGATATATTCGTCATACTATTTTCTGTATATAGTTATCTTGCCATTTCAGTTTTTCTTCCTTCGAAAAATAATATCGGCCAGATGATACGATACGATGATACGATACGATGATACGATACGATGATACGATACGATGATATGATACGATACGATGGTACGCAACGCTGGAATCATACAATGATACGCAACGGTGATACGATACGACACGATGATAGGCAAGGGTGCTACGATACGAGGATACGTAACAAATGGATGCGCATTTTAACAAATAGATACGCACTTTAACAAATGGATGCGCACCTTAATACTCTGCCTCCACGGGGAATAGTTCAGCCACTATGTTGCGCTCGGACCGCAAAACTGTCGGATCGTGTGCTTTTATTCGAGTCGTTAAACCCTTTCGATTCTCTGCTTTGATGGCTAGCAACTGGCCCGCTGGTGTAGCTCATGCCGGGTTAAACGCTCGCGAAATTAATTTTCCACAGCTTGATTTACCGTCCGTGTCCTATGGATGATGTATCGTTAATAGACTCTGGACCGATTCGTCATTTCGGAGGGAATTTTGCTTGGTCAGTTATTCAAGGTGAATGAACGATTTTTTGTTCTTGAAAATATTCTGGCTGATCCACGAACGGCCGTAGTAAATTAGAGCTCAAGGGCCGCCACGCGCGAATCGCGGTCCAACGAGAAGTGTTCCATCGGCGCGTTGCAAGCGCGAAATAATTTCGCCGCTATTTTTATCGAACCCATCTATTTCGTTCGCGGTTCCTCCAGTCTGTCTGCAACTGGATCCGAGACAGTAAACCTCGGTGAAAAGAATTCTCGTCGATGACTGCGGGAGTCTCGCGATTCGCTCTGGTCCTCGGATACTGATGGACGGATGAACTTACAAATAGATAGTAAACGTTCCCTAGAATCAGAAAATAATAACAGTAATAGTTATGCAGAAGGAAGTAAATGGTATTCATCGAGAATCGCAGTTTTCGATTGATAAAAAAATATTAATACCACCATCGTGGTATTTCACTTCCACTCAAAGAAAATCGAATAATATTCTTCTTTGTTGAATCGATTTTCATATCGTTAACACGAGTCTGCCTCGATGTTATAGGGCAAGTGGTTAAAGCAAAAAAATATATGAGTGGATGATCCTATGGGATAACAAAACAAAAATAATGAATAATCGGGAAACCTGTCAGGACAATAAAGAGAAGTGTCCGGTCACCCCGATCTCGGAGGGAACGTTTTACACGACGAGGTCACCGGCTGAAGATGATTTCTCCATGTCGGGCAATTTAGCCGTGCGAATCGCCGTGAAACCGATTCGTGCCGCGTTAAACATTTACGGCGCGGTGCGTCGTCTTCTTATCAAGCGACACGGACGGGGGACCACCGCGTAAAGAAATATCCGATCGTATCTGCCGGAAGAGTGTAGAGAAAGAAAGAAAGAAAGAGAGAGAGAGAGAGAGAGAGAGAGAGAGGACACAGCGATTAATCGACGGTTCTCCCGATTGGATCATGCAGCCGCGTTAATTCGCAAATAATTGACTCGCGTTCCGCGGGTAATTGACTCGAAAATGATCATGGGGAACACTGAATACTCGAATGGATCAACGCGAGCACGACGAAAGATTATAGCTACAATGGAAGCGATGTGTAACAGATTTTTTTAGTAGTCCGCGAGGTTTGGTACCGGTGACGTGATGTATGGAGTTGGATTTAACCCGCTCACATTTTGGTATCTTGTACAAACATTTTTTTTCATAAAATCAAGAACCATTTTAAAATTATTTAAAACATTTGAAGAATTTGTTCTCTTATGGGGACTTGAGGGAACGGTGTTGTTTATGGAAATTTATGTTTTTCCTGAGGTTGATGTACGAGACGGTTGTATATGGTGGTGCGACTCAATTTTTTGGGGGATAGAAAGTCGGATTTTGTTTAGAATTTAACCTGCTCGTTGCATATTTTTAGTATCTTGTACAAAATTGATTTTTTCAGGAAATCAAGAACCAATACTTATTTGAAGATTATTTAAAATATTTTTTTTAAATAAAGAATGTGTTTGCTTAGGATAAATAACGAACTAGTAGTCACAGTAACATCGATTTTATAATGTTTTAGATGTCATTTAACCCCTTACCGCATCCACTCCCACATATGGGTGTTTTCAATTGTTTAGAAATAAAAACAAATATTATAATTCATGTAAATGATTCTTATGAGTATTTATTAATTTAAAATTCTATACGGTAAGGGGTTAAACAAAAGTGATAAAGTAGGCATCCACTTTAGTGGAACAAATGCAGTTTGCGGGTTAATGCCGGTGAAATTGCGATTAGTGGTTCCGGTGTACTTGTTAGATTCAAGCTTTTTACTGCTTCCTATTTATATTTATGTACTAATGGTTATGACCGGGAGATCAGGTTTGATATCGCAATGAATGAAGGAGTAAAAAATTACTTTATATCGATTTAATGAGACTTGTGGAGTTAATACTAATTAGATGAATTACTCGTTTCTTTAAGATTTGTTTTTTTTTCATGAACTTTTCATGTTTTTTAAGTTATGTAGAACATTCTTCTTTTTCGTTAATTGTGAGACTTGGTTTCGTACATTTTTCTGATAACATATTTTGTCGACTACATTGGTGTTCCAAAGTATTGTATGTCTATTACAAAAAGCATAACAAATGCAGTAAATTTCTTTGACCCTCGCTTCACAGGTATTATTTTGTTCCTATATTTATCATCATTTATCACCAGTGTAATCATGTCTGTTGTTGAATAATAGTAATTTCATTCAGGGAAAATATGTACTAATGCACAAAAATGGCTGACTGACTGGAGAATGGTCATTTTTTTATAGAATTGCATCCCTGCATAAATGTCGACAATTTTTAAAACAATAACGAAAAGCAGTCAGATTGTTTTCCGAGATTCATCCAGTAGAGTTTTCAGTGCATTCAGTACTAGAAATTATCTAAATGTTTTGTTCTTTCTTTTAATTTTTGTAGTAATAAATTTTTATATTTCTTCAGAAAACGTGCTTTCGAAATTCTTTTTCCTAGATAGTTCTGGAGGTTCCCAGGCCCTCGTGTGTAACTAATATTTCGAGCTATAACCTCCGAATTAAATTCTCCAATTCTTGTCAGCGTTGTTTTGCTAGCATATTACCCGGGCGTTATCTTGATGAAACGAAACCTGTTCCCCCGTGCACGAGGGTCAGTGATTTTTAAATTGATTCCACATCTAACTTATTTAGAACCCCGACGAAACTGGTTTGATTCTAAGGCTCGAGAGAGCAAATTGTTTCATCAAATACTAGAAGAAAAAAAACTAATCTCGATGTTATCTCTTGTTGAAAATTGGTTTCTGTTTATTGCTTTCGTCGGTTTAATATCAAGATTGATTCAACATTTGATAGCATCGCATTTCGCCCATTGATCTATCCTACGAACGCGTAAATGTTCATAGTTTTTATAATAAATCATTGTTCGTGTAAACTTGAACCCTTAACCCTATAATTACGGATATATATTCATGGAAATGGCTGTCCAAACGTTACAAAAATAGGTCAATAATACTAATGAAAATTTTTTAATTTGAGAAACACATTAAAATAAAGGTTTTAATAAACTTTAATACTATTTATGTATTATTATTTATGTAGTAAAGTTTCCAGTACAGAATTCAAAATTGATGACTGGTATCAGAAATTGTAAATTTGCATAACTTTCCGCAATCTGCTCATCAACAGTATTTGATTCATTGTCCATTTCACTATCATTACTTTCACACTATTCGTATCACTATACGAGAATGTTTCATCTTCGTCGTCTATTGATAGCCGTAGTTAAAGGGTTAAACAGAGATCCTTAAGACCACAAATACTACTTAAACTGTATACTCAATCTACAATGCGTGTACCCTGTCCACAAGAAGTTAATCTACACATTGCAAAACTTATTCCATCATCAGTAATCAATCAATCACGTGTAATGTACACGAGCCAATCACAAACCAAAGTGCCTAGCTCCATTTTCTGAATTGTTTTCTAAACTTCCGGTGTCAAAAGCGCTTAACCACTTAACTTTTTATATATTAAAATAAATCACAAGCATAAATTTTATGTCATCAATCACATTGACGAATTAACAACTCATACACCACGCATTAGCTCGCAATTCAATTCCATTCCACCATTAACGCTATCCCCATTTCATTTCCAGGAACGCCCGAAGCGGAGCCATTGAAACTCCTACACGAAATACCCAAGCTCCACCGGAACCAGGTGGAACACAACCACAATTCGACCACAACGAAACATCTCGAGCAAAAGATGACCATTTCCAAATCTATTATCGATATAATTTAAAAAAAAAAAAAAAAAAAAAAAAGAAAACAGAAACGACCGCGTCCAACAGTCCCACGGGTGGTGGATCAGGTTGAACATACTATTTCGGGATCGTCGCTCGAGGATAACGCGATATATCGGTCTGGTTGTGTCGCAGTTGATCGAAAACACAGTGTCGAGCCTCCTTAATGGGCATTCCGTGGATCCCGTGTCGATTCGATCGCGAGGGAAGAAGCAGCAGGGTACGCGTATGAGGAACCGAAGCCTTGAAAGCTATAAGGAGGAGTAGGAGGATCTCTATGGGCGCCTCGAGGGTGGCGCAGAGCGGCGAATGACCTGGTGCCGGCGCGATATATACCCCTTCCCTCGATCGAGATCCTCTCGTGCCCCTCGAATATGATCGACTGACTTCTCTTCCGAGGATCGTCTTCGACGTGATCCAACCCTTCCGAGGACACTGAATGCGTTTGGTGATCGCGAAGAGGTGACATGTCGCGAATCTCGAGTCGCGTGTCCAACGGCGCCGCGGCGCTCGGCGTCGTTCTTCTGGTGGTATTCATAGTGATATTATGGACTGGTGTGCACACCTCGAACGAGGAAATAGAGGCCGACGGACGCCTGGATCCTGGGACGCAGGCTTTGGATGGATTGACGAAGGAGAGATTGAACGAGACTAGTACCATCAGGAGCGTTACTTTTCACGAGGAGAGCTTCTCGAACGAAGGTACCTCTTTAATTTTGTTATTGCCTTTTGTGAATATTTAACATTATGAATAGGGGACGGTTGGTGAATTTGGACCATCGCCTTGGTTGGACCAGTACTGTAACTTGCTATGTTTAAGCATTTGGGCTGTATGATAGACAATATGTGTACGATAATGGTGATTGCATTGACTAACTTAGTGTATAAGGAACTTGCATTGTCTATCATGCGAGGGAAGTTTTTTTTACTCATGACAAGTTACAGTAGTGGACCAAAAAACTGCAAGTATTCGGATATTCGAACTATTCAAAGTATTCGAATAATTCGAATACATCGAATAGTACAAAGTATTCGAATAATTCGAATAGTACGGAGTATTCGAGTAGCAGAAATTTTCTAACGAAGATTCAGGTTTAACGTTAGAAAAACAGATAATTATTTTGTTTTTTGATATGAAGGTTCGAATTGTAGGATTTGTTATCTTAGTTACCATTGAAGATGATTTCTAACCGTGGAGTCATTTGAAAATTTTAGCAACTTGTTATAAGTTACGAGCTTTGTGCCTTCAGTATTAGCTGGTCAGTTGTAATCCGTTGACACGTTGACTAGCTAGATAAATTTGTACATCTCGCCGTAGAACTTTCATTATCATAAGTATACATCGATAAAATGTTACATAATAGGATTCGGTAAGTTTACATACTTATCGATAGTGTGTTTATCTCTTCGATGGCCACTGGAGCGTTATAATGCGTTCGATTGATATCATGGTAGATTTTTCAATATCGGTACTTTTTTTTTCCTATGTTGCACTGTCATTTATCACGTTACGCTCTCATCGACACTTCTTTCGTCGACGGAACTGAATGAATTTACAAGCAGTTTAAAAAAATTCAGCGGAGGACGTCATTGAAAGGATGGACATCGATCACGGATGACCACCTCGTCAGTCAACGTGATTAAAGAATAAATGTCAGGTGTAGTAACTACCCAACAAGGATAAACGAACTGAAAGTGACGGTAAAAGGGGAAGGACGAATGCCAGTCTTAAATCAACCTTCGCACCGCGAGTGCGCCATATTGTCCCAGACACGAGATTTATACTTTTCGGAATTTTTCCACAAAAATCGATGCCTTATCGTATCGATGTCACTGAAATATTCTGTTCATTAAACATTACAAAGCGTACACCAATACGATACGATTTTTACTTATTTCGATCTTAATTTAATTCGTTCATTCGCGACTGTGGAATCAATGGTACGGTAGCCCGTGAGAAGTAATTCGAGTATGTATGTATCGGGTCTCGCAGAAACAGAGGAGTTGCGAAAGATCCGTTAACGCGTTTAGTCTCAGTCAAGGCGTGCAACAGCTCTCAGGGAAAGCTAGAACGTCCAGACGTCCTTGTAAGGCCGCTGCACCAAAGCATCTCCACACCTACACCTACACCTACAACCATTGCTACGAGGCATGAACCTTTATTCACAGTCTACCGTACTCATATTCCAACCCAACCTGTACCCCTACGTCCTAAGTACAAGATATATACGCTGGCTCGCAGCCCGAGCTCTCTGGCCCGTGCACCTGATGGTGCTTCGGCGAATCGGAGTCAGCATTCCGTTCGGAGGTGAAAAATCCTCGGTGAAATCACGTTCGCCTGGGACTTCCGGGTTGCCTAAATGATTGGTGCTATTGGTCTTTGCTTGTAGAATACGATTCTACTAGGATACGATTTCTACTAGGATACGATTCTATTAGAATACGAATTCGATACGACGGTCTTTGAAAAATTCTTTGGTTTAGAGTGATTATTAGGAATTAGAGGTTTTTGTTAACAAAATGGCAAGTTCTTCTTCTTGTGATACATGTGGTTTAATTTGAATAGTTGGATAGGTATTATATTGAAGATCGATTGTATCGATTCATATTAGTCATTTCATATATTCACATCACCACAGATCTCAAATCTCTCCGTAGAACCTAACCATCTAATCTGTCCAGAACTATCACGAAATTCTGCCAGCATTTTTATTTATTTATTTATTGATACACGGGTATATAACCGTTTAGTATATAATCCAGTTATAATCAGTCAATAATCTATGCCTAAAAGAGACTTGGGAACTAAAGAATTTTGAAAGTACCTTCTAAAATTAAACCAACCAAAACACAAAAGGAACATCTTGGAGGTTCCTCCAGAATTTAAAACAACCACCCAAAAATAGAAAATTCGAGCCCATAAACAACAAATGCCGCGAGACCAAGCGCAATTCCTCTGGCGGTGTCTGTCCTCGGTGCATTAATTCTCCTTTTAATTAAACGTTCCGACGGGAACTACGGAGGAAGAAAGTGAGAACGCAGTTATCTGCGTAAATTACGAATCCGAGTATCGTTCGTGATCGAGATCGAGGGGCGGTCGGTACGTTTCGCGTAAAATGGGTGGACGGCGATCGACTACGTGGACAAATGGGGAGTGAAGGGAGGTGAAAGAGGGACAATTACCGCGTGGATAATCCGCGAGCAGGTGCAATTAGCTCTCGTTAATGATTACCAGGGATATCCCCCTTCTTCGATCGAGGCTGGGTAGCTCGGAAGATTCCAGGCGAGATAACGGGCCCACGGAGAAACGAATAAACTGCACGAAATTAGTGGCGCGGGTTCGGATTCACCGCGGCGAAGATCGCGTATCGTCGATGATGGTGTAAGCGGAACGTTGTGGAACCGTCGCGGCTCTGTCTCCGCGGAATAATTATGCATCTGCATGCACGGATAGAGTCGTCGTCGGTGAATCGTGCCGCGAACGTTTTGTTATGCGACAGAAACCACCGGCTCTCGACGATCCTACGAATGTACTCCTAATGAATGAGATTCTCCTTGAAGAATATATATTCTTTTTATTTTCGTTGACACAATAGTTGATTTCGCGGCGTAAATTATTGGAGGAACGAATTTTGCGTTTCTAACGATTTGTGAATTAATAAATGAAATAAAGCGTGCCTAGGTATGTATTGCCTTTTTCACTGTGGTATTCAATGCGTTAATAACGTTCTCGATGGTATTGCTCGTAAGAAAAGACGATATCTTTTCTTATAACTGTAGACTGCAGATGTCTATGTATTTAGAGCGTTTCTTAACTTGGAAAATATAATAATACGAAACGTCGTCAAGCCTACTTGAATAAATCGGAAGGATCTTTGGTAAATTCGGTAAAGTTTCATAGAAGACGGAATTGTAAATTTGTAGGAAAATGGATAACTGTATTCACCCGATTTAAATATCTGCAATCGTCTGAACGATTTATGTATTGTGTCTTGCAATTGAAATATTTCACCATCTGGCTGAAAGACACGTGTGGCGTGTCCTCAGCGAAATTCGTAAGACGAATTATGCAAATGGTCGCAGCGGACAAGTCAACGCGCTCGCTACCGAGATCGTGCCGGAAAGATAAACCCCGCGGAGTCTCGCTATCTGCAGTCATTAAACTCTTATCTGACGAATTAAAAACGACACATAAAAGATGAGGAACGTAAGACCGGGGTGAGAATTTTATGGTCCCGTTCGATCTCGAATTCGCTTCGATTCGTTTCGATATCGTGTGTACCTGCCGTGTCCTCTATCCAGATTTTCTCTCTTCTTTTACGCTTGTACCGACCGCGAGTGAACCGAGGCTGGCTATCTTTGGTACACGATTCAACCGATTATCAGGTTGTAATGATGTAACTGTCATCGAGTGGGAAAAGAAAAAGGTGGGAAGCCACGGTAAATCGTAAATATTCAAACATCTATTCTCTTATCTCGGTGAAGTTATCAGTAACGATTATAAGTTCGTCGGTTTTCGTGACGCATATCGTCGAATTTACCTGTCGTTCGACGGTTCATTGTTACCGTGGATAGGTTACCCATTCTTCTAGCCTGATGTGAATGTGGATAGATTCGTGGAATGGCCATTTTTTACGGTTACATTTAATAGTAGACAAATGTGCTTATTATAATATTATTATTTTAAATATTATATACTGCTAAATTAGAATTTAGTTATGTAAAATCGTATACTAACGACGACATTTCAGTTTCTCTCATTTGGGAAATGAACATGAAATTTGAAATCTATCGACAGATGGGTAACTGGATCAACGTTTTTAATGCACTTTTAATAGAAATAAAAATTTGTTTAAAGATCTGTATTTTCAAGGGAATTGCATCTTTGAGATTCAAACTGATAGAGATTCTCCCGGATGTGTAGCCTAGATTTTGGAATAAAATCGGCGCCATTATATTTGTAAAACTAGCAACATTGATCTACGAGGTAATCAAGAGGTTAGGAAGATTGTACATTCTTCTTTTATGTATAGATAGATAAAATTGATAGAGGGCAAAGTTGGGTGACCCAACGAAGATTATCTTGTAACATAATAATCCGCTCAAGTGTAATTATGCATACACTACATGATGATAGAGAGTAGATCTAACAATTTTTCTAAAGTTTATATTATTTACTATTTAATGTTTAAAACACTTCTACACTTCAGCTCCGACACATTGCAATCCTATGTAAGTATAGAAGTACATTCTGGTGATTGCGAAATATGGAGCAACTGAAACAACTTAATTATGCCTTATCACTTGTTCTTCTATCTCGGTGTTTCAATGACACAATGTAGCCTAGTTGCGTGGGACTCTTCATACACACACGGTGTTCCCAAAACGAGATTCACTCGACGCTAAACATTCATCAATATAGATTCACGAAAAAATTTCAATAACCGATACAATTCTACTAGATATGATCAACCAGTTCTATACTTTTTTAAATGTTAGACTAAACATTTTTACCATACTAAAATTGCAAAAAAAAAAAATATAAGCTTCAGTATTCTCCCTTTCTCACTCCGCGAGTGCCTGTAGCCTTTTTTCGAACGATGAAAACACCACGTTGGTCAAGTCCCGTAGAGTCGTGGAGGGGGGCAGAGAATATAGATTAACGAAAAAATTTCAATTACCGAGACAATGCTACTAGGTAT